AATCCTATTGAACAATGCCACTGTTGGATAGTGTGGTAACTGGCAACCACAGACCCTTCACGCTGTTTGGCTTTGGGGAGAGTAGAACTGTTAGATTTTGTTACACTGGGCAGGTAAGCCACTTTGACAAATGATGCAGACTGATGTGTCTGGCAGGGTTTCTAGCCAAAGTAGGCTGGAGGGTTAGGGTTACAGAGGAACTACTTCTATGTAAAAACGTGTACTTAATAACATAAACATTTCTGGCTCTGCCACACATACATGTATATGCGTAGACGGAGCTAATGTGAAATCCCTCTATTCTTAGGGACATTACCGATATACTGTAGGACCGAGTTCTGGACAGTTCTCTGTCCACACAACATTTTCAGACCCCCAAAACAGGTGAACTGTGTGTGTACCCCCACAACTATGGAACAAGTAGTCATGTACAGTACATGCACATGCCCTGCACATAAAGTACTTGTAGTGAAGCCTGAAAGTGTGTTTCATTCTTCTTCTACATACATGTAGTACATGTACGTACATGTACGTACATGTACATGTATGTGGTCCAGTTTAATCAAATTCAAGCATTACATTTAAGTGTTGAGGATGTGCACTACATTCCTGGATATGAGCAACTCAAACACTACTCTCCCCCGGTACATGTACTGGTATAATTATATGTAGACTGGAGAGCACTGGCCATGCAGATGAGTACAAACAATCAGTAGACAGTTTGTTTCAGTTTTGCAATACTTTGAATTGTCTAAAAAGTGACTTTCTTTTTTATTGGTGCCACCCGTTTTACTGAAAATCAATTGTTGGTATTGTACGTGTACATACATGTAGTAAATCCAATCTCCTGTACTTACTTGTTCATGGGCCTACAAAGCAACATGGCTCGTGGGATTGATTATTTGCCACTGGAGTTGTCCAATATGTGTACATGTATGTACCTACTGTACGTATTACCACCACCATTCTCACAGGTACTGAACCGTTAGAAATCCTAATTAACCTGTGTGCCTCTTTTTTAACCTTTCTCTTATAACTTACACAGTTTAATGCACTGTATATATTTACTGATTCATCTATACTTTTCAAACCGTCTTTGAAAATCCTAATTTAAGCCAGTAGAGGTACATTCATGTTTCTAGTCGTGCGAAAAGGAGCAAGAAAGAGAAAGAGACTTTTTTGACTTTTCAAATGGAAACTTTATTTCATTTCATTAACTGCAGAGTTACATGTTATTTGATGAAGTTATACATGGACATGTACATGTATGGTACATTATGCTTGTAAAAAAATCTCTCAAATGTTAAACGATATACTGTTGGAAAGAAGATTTTAATGAAAAACATGGTTGACCATAGGAATTGTATCTGTCCTTTTTTTTTTGGGTTGTTCAGAGTATCTCAATCAATTGGAATGCAGCCCTGGGCAGCAACGGTCATAATGTACGCCAGGTAAGCTTTCTTATGGATTCCTCTCTTCAATCTTGCAATTTATTCCCCCCCCCCGATGTCTGTCGCAGGAGAGTGCCTGCAGAGAGTTACTGTGGTTTATTGTGGGGTTTGGAAATTCCTTCTGGATGTAGCCGTCAATTAACGTTGGATCACGAATGCTTACCATTCGTGTTGGTCATCATTTCGATATGCTGGTGCAGGCATGTGTCCGAATTTTAATGACATTTTGTTTTTTTGTGTTCTTTTCTAATTCTGTGCTTTTTGTGAGGGAGTGAAGTCCTCGGAGAGTCCTCACTCTCCTGAGGACGATCCTGGTCAAAACAGTGAGTTCCTACTCACCGGTTCTTTTCAGAACCACATTTCTGCCAAGCACGGTGTGTCCGTGAACCTCATACAGCACAGCCACACACTTTAAGGTTCTCCCTCCTTTGTAATTTCTTTTAGCACTTTCAATTCATTGCTAGAGATTCAATTCATAAATGTTGAATGCTCGATGAGACCGGCCAGTGCACATCATTTGTAATCTGTGCAGCTTAGGAGTACTGTGAAATAGAAAACATAATTGGATACTCTCTTTAAATATTAAAATATACCGAGGGCAAGAAAAATCCTCATTTGCAATTCATAAGGATTACCATACATTCATGAGTAGTCAAGTAATCTTTGGTTTATGGTATGGGTAATTCCAGAAATTAGGGATCCAGTTTTTTGTGTCCCTGTCACATCTGACATATGATTTATAAGTTCAGAACACATTTTAATATCCAAGAGTGATGGATTAATGCAAATTACCTACCAACAAATAGTAATAGTTCAAAATTAATTCTGGTGATATTTCCATGTCAAATAGCAAAGGTAACAGGAACACAAAAATGTCACACTTTTGGACCCCTAATTTCTGGAATTACCCATATGGTTGTATCTTTTGCAAAATGAAGTATACAGTTTTCAGTTTCTTGCTTATACTGATATCTGATGATATTACATAAATGTATCCTGGATATGTCCAGACCATTTCAAAGAAAAAAAAAACTGAATGCTGGTGTGAGTTTAAAAAATGAATTTGCTACACTGTTGATACCGTTTCATCAAAGTGTTGTATCAAATCAGCTAATGTATGTTACTTGCATGCAATGGCATACATGTACATGTACATGTACATGTAGGTCTCTCTCAAATGACGTCACTTCCTGAAGATTGCCACGTGCATTGCCAAGTTTCAAACTTTCTTACTTTCTGCACACTGCGCGCGCACTCACCTGTTGGGCTTTTATACATGTACACAGTTTCAATTTTCTATGAAGATGGTGTCCAGTAAGAGAGATCTGTAGGGCCTGCCCTTTTGACGTCACAGTCACGTTTCTCCTACAAGTGGTTGTTAAAACTATGGTTGGCCATCGGTACAAAAGTAAAAGTGTCCAAACTCTAGAGATTCTAGTATGCATAGACCCATGTTACTGGTACTGCAACCGTAAATACTGAATGAAACTATAATCCTACCTAAAATCAATGAGACAAGTGTCCATTTTGAAACAAACTGGAGGCAAAATAAAAAACGCACCAGAAGGTGATCTTTTTGTAAACTTTGGCCGCCCCTACAAGTCTTAGGCAAAATGAGAGTGGTCAATATTGTGGTTTTTTTTCCGGACACCATGTGAATGCACCGGAAGCACTGCCAGCAGTGTGTGTCATTAAACTGCTGATGGCTATCAAAACTGAATCTGGACCAATCAGTAACTGTACTAGCACTGGCTAATGAGGGAATACATATAGCCAAGGCAAAAAGGGAACATTGACACGAAATGAGAAAAGGCTGGTGATTAGTTTGATAATTTCTGATACATGTACAGTACTGTACAAGTAAAAAAAAAAAAGAGGGTCCAGGCAAAAAGATTCCCCTGACACTTCATGCAAAGTTTTCTGGTGCAAGTAGTTGGGCCCGTGAACAAACATGCACGTACACATTTTGTTTGGATTTAATTCAGCAAATGTTAATAAATTTATAAATTACCGCACACGCGTACAATTTACTTACAGTGCTGTTGCTGGTGAGGTGGTCAAAATTTATGCCCCATGTGACAGTAGTCAACTACATTGTACATGTATTATTTTGTTTTGTGCCAACAAGTACTGGTACAGAGGTTGTGATTTAATGCTGCAAGGGATATTCAACAATAAGCGTGAATTCAGTTGAAATCGTGAATGAACCTCTGATTTGATTTAAAGGTTTGATGAAATGATATAAACTGTGTAACACATTCACTTGTTGAACTCACACCAGCACACAGTTTGTTCTCTTTGAAGTGGTCTGGACCTACCCGTACCCTGGATACATAAATTTATGTAATATCAAGCATTACTCACTGTGAAATTTGTCAAAGTCATAGCATGTGCAAAGTAGTGTTAATACTTGTTATGTTAAGTACATGTACAGTGTACCTGTATAAGATGCTATCAATCAGTTTTTGTCCGTGTCAGCTTACTCGTACATGTACATGTATGCTGCACACATGTAATTCACAAGTGTGAACCCTGTTATGGCCGATAATAATTTAACAATCGGTCAATAATGTAATACCGGCCGATAACGTGATAAAAATCGGCCGATAATGTAATACCAGCTGATAACGTAATAAAAATTGACCGATAATGTAATAACCCAAGTGACCCATAATGTAATGAAATTCGGCTGATAATGTAATAACCCAAAACCGGCCGATAATGTAATAACATGGAGGCCGATAATGTAATAACCGTAGATTTGTTGTTTCTTAGAAGGCTTTTGGGGACTTGGGTTTTCTTCAAGTTTTCTCTGCAGATCCCTCTTATATTAAAGAAACGACAGACAGCTAAAAAATACCCTGGTAAGCTATGTGTACACAATTAAGAATGTACCAGTAATTAGGTGGAAAAGGAGTACATGTAGCTTGAGCCAGAACGAGATTTTGACAGGTATGTGTGAGGATATTTTTCACTTTCATCTGTTTTTCGAGGTTAGAGGCTAGGAATCATATTATATACTGCTGAACTGAGAGTTTGGATGCTGACCTGCTGGGGGACACTCAGGCTTGCTTCTTAGGCAGTATTATATTCATTCTGACGTGATGAGCTCATTAAATTGAGCTAGTGTTCATACATGTATATAACACAACAGTTTTTCACTACCTGCAAAGTTTGAAGCCAGTCGGACTTGTACTTCAGAAAATACAGGGCTTTAAAGGATACATCTCTAATGTCACCTGACATGTTAACTGATAACGTCATCGTGACACGAGGTCAGTTTTCGTCTATAACATATCCCTTGTGCGATGTCTGTAAAGTCTTCACCCAACTTGACACGTTTTCAGAAAATACAGGTATATGGGGCTTTAAAAGAAGTACCTTTCACATCACATGATTTGTCAACTGATGATGTCATCCTCAACACTTCCCTTTTTAGCTATATGTATTTGCAAAATTTCAACCCATGGGACATGTACTTAAGGAGATACATGTACATGCACGGAGCTTTGAAGTTTGTTACATTAAATGCCAATCAAGCCCAATGGGTGACTGTGCATGTTAACTGAAATCACCTCAACACTAAATTAAAAAAACAAGATTTATGTATGAAATGAGATCACCATAATTCATCTGAGTGTATACACCTTGGAAAAGATGATGTCTATGTTCAGTTATAATTTGATGACAAAAAAATTGAAAACTTGTCACTTCAAAAGCAATAAGGTAAAATAAGAAGGATCTGCAGGCAAAATTCAAAGAAAACCTAAGTCCCCCAAAGCCTTACTGGGAAACAAGCAAATCTACCGCTACGGTTATTACTTTATCGGCCTCCATGTTATTACATTATCGGCCGGTTTTGGGTTATTACATTATCAGCCAATTTTTATTACATTGTGGGTTGCTTGGGTTATCACATCATCGGCCGATTTTTATTACATTATTTGTGGCTTGGGTTATTACATCATTGGCCAATTTTTATTACATTATGGGTTGCCTGGGTTATTACATGTTATTACATTATCGGCAGGTGGGTTATTACATTATCAGCCGATTTTTATTACATTATGGGTTGCTTGGGTTATTACATCATCGGCCGATTTTTATTACATTATTTGTGGCTTGGGTTATTACATCATCGGCCGATTTTTATTACATTATGGGTTGCTTGGGTTATTACATTATCGGTTGATTGTTATTACATTATCGGCTGGTATAACATTATTGGCCGATTGTTACATTATCAGCCGTAACAAACTCTCCTTAATAAAATTGATATTACATGTAATCTGAGCAGCAGTGACTCGGATACCTACTGTACATGGATAGCTGAGGTGTCTCCTAGTGCACAATGTGATGGTATGCTGATATAAGTTTTGCAGTAATGTTTTTGAAGTAGACACGTACCGGTACATTTCTTACCATTTCATCAGGTGGTGTTTGATGGCCAGGCTGTGCACTCTGTACAAGGAGGTTACAACAGTGGTCCTCTAACCCAGGATGGAAATTTTGACATTCAGTTCAATCTGCAAGGGGAATTCTCTTTTAAGAGGTGAGTGATAGAAAGGCTTTTGTACTGATCGGACCATACATGTACATGTATGTGTAGTCAGGTCTTACATGTACAGCAGTTACCGGTACTTTGTATAGATGGAAAAGTACTGTACATGCACACAGGGTTTCCTCTGGGGTACTGATACGTGTTAGGTGTTCAACAAATGTTGCCAAAGTTTTTGTGCCTAACTAAATCAATCTTGTATCTGTGTCCTTCCTTATCACTCTGAATGATTTTAAACTGAATTACTGGTATTTCAAAATATCTAGAACTTAATTTTGCATTTTCCTTCCATATAAATTTTGTGTGAGGTGAACATGTAGGTGGTCACTATTATCAGTGAGGTGGGCCGCCTTACACTTGAACAGGCAGGGAAAACACTGCATGTACATGCACCGGGTACATGTACATGTATGCTGTTTATGCGCACGCATGTACCGGTATATACATCTACCGCATTGGTAACCAGCAGCATGTTTATTCAGCGCATGTACATGTATGCAATGCAATGCACTTGTGCACATTCACCATTGTGAAAGGTAACAACAGTTACACATTTGTGACCCACTCTGTGAAAATGAGTCTTAAGTTGCCAGAGCCACTTTTTGAGCTTTCATTTGTATTCGAAAGTCAAATGGACCTTTTTGTTTTGATGTATCACAAGTTTGGCATCCTGATGGCAGTGGATACTCCATGGTGAAAAATGCTGTGGGGTTCCTATTGATTTACATTGTGCCAAATTATTCTAAAGGACTTTTAACTCCAAAGTGGCTCTGGCGACTTAAGACTCCTTTTTGCACAGTGGGTCACATTTGTCTTTGGTGCAGAACTTCCACATCATACAATATATACATGTTCATGTAAATATTTACCAGTAGTTGAAATTATTGAGTAATGTGTTGTTGCACTTGCTGTTTGTTTAGATTTGTGGATGGCTATTCTGGTTAGATATTCATGTTATATTCATCTACATGTTCACAATGGAAGAGGGAGGAGGAATATAATTTGTTTTGGAAGCGGTTAAGTTTACTTCAAGGTCTCTTTAAACTTCGGCTCTTTTCAATAGCCTTTACTGGTTCTTGATAATTGTTGGCACAGGTGGTGGTGCTGGGTCACTTACATGTACATGTAAGTTACAACAAAATGAAATGCTTTGGAGTTCAAAGGCTTAAACACAAACCCTGCACATAAATCATTAGGATCCCTCATTTTTTCACCAAGGGCGCTAGGGGTACAATGTAATGTAATGCCAATTTTCCTCGGTTAAATGTGCTTGTACATGTACATATACTGGGGGCAAACTGGCGTTGACTGATCAAAACAATGCTCAGTTTTCAAACCAAACAAGAAAAAAAAAATAGCCTTAAGACTCATTGTGTTGGGTCCGGTCTCATCAAATAAGGTCCATGCAGGTTTATGCACATACCGTGCATGTACCATGGCATCAATAATTGTGGTTCATTATGTCTTATTGTGTAGTGACGGCTATGAGGCAAACAGCAGCAAAGTCCTTCATGTGACAGTCAAATCAAGACACTATGTACTAGCTGAGGTAAGAGTCCTTGCGTTGTTCCAACAGATCAGAGTGTAGGCTTATTAGTTTTCAAAACAGGTTCTGGTGCAGGTATCCTGTATATTCACTGACATGTACATGTATGTACATGTACAGTGTACATGTACATGTACATGTATTTCCATTCTATTTTCGAAAATGTAGCTTTTAGAGCCATTTCTTATTTACTCCAAGGAATGTACCAACTGACATTTAAAAGAAATATTCCAAAGTATCACTGCTGTTATAGATTATTGTACCGTAAGCGTGTCATCACTTTGAACCAGGAAATGTAGTGCAAACAAATGGAGTAAGTGGGCTTCTTGGTTGACGTGCTCGTTCTTGAGCTAATGCATTTTACACACATGGGAGTGACGTATTCACTTTGGCACTTCATAGTCTGCTAGCTTATTCATGCATGTGGTCAAAATTCGTAACTACTGAACAAGTACTACCAATGTGTCTTACAGGCTCCTCTGCTTTAACTACCTGTATGAAGCTTTAACCATCGGGTAGCAGGCAGGGCAGCCGCAGATAGACATGATAGAACAGTGCATTCTGCAGAACTGGCTACAATTACATCCTGTTTCTGTACAGGGTGTTCCTGCAGTCATGTGCAAAAGTTTAGGACCACCCATACAAAATGCAATTGAAAAATCAAACTTAAACCAATCAATCATGGCAACTAAATTATGTTTATTTTCAATGTGTAACCTTAGTATCTTGGCTAAACAGCTACCGTACATGTATTTGACTACATGTCCATGATTTGAAATGTTTAATATTTAGTGTGCCCTTTATTTCGGATTACATACATTTGCCCATGCTACCTTACAGACAAATGTCATACAAGACAGGCTGCCTTTGCAAGAAAATTTATGCAAATGGACTCATACGGTAGCATGACTCTGATGTTATCACCACTGTAAAAAAAATATCTTATGTAATCATTCAATGAAACAGTGTTGTGCAGGCCCAGTACAGAAATACCGACAAAGGTCCTGGTGGTCTTACACTTTTGCAAGTGACTGTAAAATTCTTGTCGCACTCAAGGAGTGTAATGTTTATTAAAGAGGTGTGCTTAATTCAACTTGCCAAGATTATGTAGTCAAGACAAGTGTCAGGTGACTATTAAGATTCAAATTGGTTATCACAAATATGCAAACCAGGAAGCAACTACCGGTCTAATACCTTTGTTTCACCAAAGTTTCATTCGGACATCTGCATGCCAAACTCACAGTCAGTACATGTAGAAGACTCTTGATGTTTTGTGGTGTTGTTTTCCAGCTGACAGAGGAGCGATTTGTGCCGAGCGTGCTGCACGTTGAGCAGGGCAACTGTGTGAAATGGGTCTGGAACTCAACCCACCAAGCCCACTCCATGCAAGAAGTCAGGCTCTGCCCCAAACACTATGGGATTCTCCAGACAAATGGAGGGTGGGTACTTGTTAAACACTAGGGGGCGTCGGTGGTTCCTTCCACCTGACCCATACTCAGGCCCACATATTGTATATTGCAGAAATAGCCTTAGACTCACTTGGGCAGTGTGACCCTCTAGAAGAATTTCAATGGTACAAGCAAGTATTAACTTTTCTTACACTGGATTTGCTCATGAATATTTATGAGGTGTAGTAATCATAAATACCTCAGACAGTCTGCCTATTCAACAACGTGCAACTGGACCATGTATTAACATTTGATAATGCCCGCTGAGAAGTGATAATGCCCGCTGCATAAATCACATGCTGGCACCTGGATACAAGACAGTTTAGTTGATCCTGATTGGTCAAGAGTTTGTGTGCACACGGTTCCCCATTTGGGTGCCAATTGGACAATTTGCACAAGGAGTATTCCATAAAACGGACAGAGGTGTTTGTGAAAATGAAAGTAAAATTCTAGAACAAAATCAGTGGATATCCATCATTGATTTCTTTTGACTGTCTAACTAAGAAGGTTATTTATGAATGGGAATAAATATGTGCTTGGCGCTTAAACTAACGTTTAAGACTGGCCAAGCACATATTTATTCCCATAATAAATGTTACAGTCCATACATGCCGTACATGTACATTGTACCTATACATATACTGTACATGGAGTAACTTGAAGAGTGTTGTCTGTTTGATATGCCTATAGAAAGCAAATGTTAGGACATGTGTACGTGTACATACATCGTATAGTAACTTGAAGAGTGTTGTCTTTCCTTACATGTACAGTGTATGCTTAA